TGTTTTGAGATGTATTATTTAATATACAGCAGCACTTGTACGCATCTAGCCAAGTTATGAAAATATCTCCCTATCACAATCGGTTCAGGGTCAGGAACCAAATAATTTCTATATAGAAATACGGATGTGCAATATGATTTAATTATGCCACCACAATGCACAAAGATGGGTTCCAAGGAAGGTTGGGAAATGTGTTGGTGATCCCAACATTAGTGGAGAAAATGGGCAGGTGAGAAAGTGATATGTGAAATGAATTATTATTAATACATATAGATCCTCGTACAAGAAAATATGAACTTGAAGTTCAAGTGATAATTAATTTACAAATTATTGCCACACGCATTTGCTGACCCAAAGCTAAATGTCATATTTCAGCTGCTAATGCTACAAATAGAATAAAGTCCATGAGGGACAGAGTCTATGGCACGCATGAAGCGTAACAGACCAATCGGTTCGAAAGATAAAACTCCTTGAAGAAGGAGAGGGGCAAATGTTCAAGATGGTCATAATAAGGAGGCAAGTGCTCTAGAAGAGCACCACGACATAACACTTCGTAAGACCTCATGTGAGAAGCTCAGGTACCTGAAAATAATGAGATAAAGAGATCTCAATAAAATATGTCTTTATTGTGTAATAATTGAACCGATATAAAATGATCGTCGATGATATTGTTAACATAATGTAGTGCTCAATATTATTAATATTGACGAGGATCTTGAGCTCAAATCTGTCATAAAATTTGGACAGATAAATGATTGGCCAAATGAAAAATACGCAATGAAAATTGACTTCACTTGAAAAATATGAAGTTGGACGGATAGTCCCAGCCCTGAAAGTATAAATCCAGTGGAGGTAAATGTGTTCTTGTGCGAAAAAGGTCAAGTCGATAGACATAAAGATGACTTGTGTCACAAGAATATTTGTAAATATCCTGGCATTGATTATATAGAGACATGTTCTCTTGTGGTGGATGTAGTCATTTAAGATTTTAATCTGGCAATACATGAAAAATTGATATGCGTATAATGGAAATCATTGAAGGGTTTAAATTGTTCTGAAGCATATTACGTTTCCAAGAAATTTATTAAATAAAGCTTCAAAAATCCTTATACGGATTGAAACAATCTTGGCGCATGTGGTATAATCGCCCGAGAGAGTACTTGTTGAAGAAGGGTACAAGAATAATTCAATTTGTCCTTGTGTCTTTATAAAAGGATCTGTATTTGAATTTGTTATAATCGCCATGTATTTGATTGATTCAAATATCATTAGAACTCCCGGGGAGCTTCTTAAAGCAGTAGACTGTTTAAAGAAAGAATTTGAAAAGAAAGATCTTGGAAAGACAAAAATTTGTCTTAGTCTACAAATTGAGTATATAAAAGATGAAATTTTTGTCCATCAATCAGCATACACTGAAAAGATTTTAAAGCGATTCGATATGGATAAAGCACATCCATTGAGTACCCCGATGGTTGTGAGAACACTCGATATAAATAAAGATCCATTCCGACCTCATGAAAATAATGAAGAACTTCTTGGTCCTGAAGTACCATATCTTAGTGCAATTGATGCACTAATGTATCTTGCTAACACTACAAGGCGTGACATAACTTTTTCAGTTAATGTCTTAGTAAGATATAGCTCTGCTCCTATAAGGAGACATTGGAATGAAATCAAACATATATTGCGTTATCTAAAAGGGACTACCGATGTGGGCTTATTTTATGGCAATGATTGCAATCCCGATCTTGTTGGTTATTCCGATGTGGGGTATTTATCTGACACACACAAGGCTTGATCTCAAACATGCTATGTGTTTATATGTGGAGGCACTGCCATATCTTGGCGATCGACTAAGCAATCAATCATGGCTACTTCATCTAATCATGTTGAGATAATTGCTATTCATGAAGAAAGTCGAGAATGTGTATGGTTGAGGTCTATAATACATATTATTTGAAACAAATATGGTTTGAAGTGTTACAAACTACCCGCAATTTTGTATGAAGACAATACAGCATGCATAGCCCAATTGAACGGAGGATTCATAAAAGGAGCTAGGACAAAGCACATTTCACCAAAGTTATTTTCCATACCTGATCTTCAAAAGAATGGTGATATCAATGTGCAACAGAATCATTCAAGTGATAATATGGCTGATTTGTTCACCAAATCTCTACCGATGTCAACCTTCAAGAAACTAGTGTACAAGATTGGGATGTGAATGATCAAGGATGTGAATTGATGCTCTCATCAGGGGGAGTTAATACGCGTTGTACTCTTTTTCCCTTACAAGGTTGTGTCCCACTGGGTTTTCCTTGCAAGATTTTTAACGAGGCAACAAAAAGGCGTATTTCTAAACATGTGTACTCTTTTTCCTTCACTAGGATTTTTTTCCATAGGGTTTTTTTCTAGTAAGGTTTTAACGAGGCACATTATCTATGGACATCCAAGGGGGAGTGTTATAAGAAAAATTAAATTATGGTGGATGTCTATTCTTTCTCCATGATCTTCATCTCAAATGCTTAATGACATATTCAATGACATATGTCTATGTTTAAGGATATATTCCATGACACATTTTCTTCACTTTTCATGCATATATAAAGGCCTTGTAATAGATAGGAAAATACACACAATTGAAGAAGAAAATCTCTTCCTTCTCTCAATCTCCATTTCTTGTTCATGTTTTACTAAATTGCTTTTATTTCCTTGTTCCATATTGTTACTTAGAGTTATATTTAATAGCACTAATGTTTTTTTTTCCGTTGATTAATTTGCCCCTTGTCTATGTCATTTTCACCTTCGTGCCATGCTAGGCCACACCACTGGTGTACACATGTCCGCCGGCTGCTTTAGTTTAAGAGATTATATATAGGTGAACGGTTTTTTGGATTAATTCTTTTTTTTTTTCCAATCCAAAAAACAAAACGGTTGGCATGAAGTTCCACTATACAGAACCAAAAAAAAAAGCAGGACAAATAACGCACGATCCCTAAAAAATAGGTTTCCAAAATATAATTTTGTAGATAATTACTTAATTAAGCAAGCAGCAGAAAATAGATGTTGAATATAAAGCTATTCGCTAATTGGTTGAGATAAATGTGACTTCATATTGCGGAGATTTTCATCAACCTAAATTATTCAAATTTAGAAAGCACCTAGAGAAGTGGAGAAATGCAAGAGCTTGGTTACATGTACGATAATCAAGGGAATAAATTACATTTTTACTAATATTACTTGTTTATAATTAGGACAGCAAGGTCACGTGCTTGCTAATGGGGAATTTCTTCGTAATGTTATATTTCAATCAGTATAGTGTTGTGAATCTTCTTTTAATTTGTCCTCATAAATCACTGCAGTTTTAGATCCCGGCACATTTACTATTGTTTTTATCGATGTTAAAAAGATTAAGATATATGGAGCTTTATTGTTTAGTTTGGTGAAGGAATGGAAAAGAAAAACAAGGGGAGAATAGAAGGGTAAGGAGAAAGGTGAAAAATATAGTTTGTGTACTTGGTTTTTTATTTGTTGGAGAAGTAAAAATGAGGAGAGAAAAAAAAATTCGCAACAATTTTACCAATTTATTCTTTGTGAAAGTAAAAAATTTTTTTACTACTCCCTTCGCTCCAATTTATATTTCACAATTCGAGTTTTGAGTGTCAAGCTTTTTAATTTTAACTGTGAATGCGGACGTATTTTGAAATATAAAATTTAAATATTTGAAAACTATGTAAAAAGTACTATAAGTTCATAATAATTAACAATTTAAAATATTAAAAAAAACATATGAAAAATTGCCATAAAAAGAATTTGTTTGACTCCGGACACCACCACTTAAATTGAAATGGAGGGAGTAAATTTCATGGGTTGTCACGCCTCCTTTTTCCCGAGGGGATAGGGGAGTTTTTCCAATTAAAGTGACATTAATCGAAATGGGATTGTTTATCTAATTCAGAGTCGCCACTTGGAAGAATTTATGGTGTCCCAAGTCACCGGTTTATTTTAAATCCCAGATCGAGAACATTTGACCCTGTTTTAAAGTCTGCGAACACAGAAGACCGGGTAAGGAATTTTGTTAACCCGGGAGAAGGTGTGATGCACTCCCGAGTTCCGTGGTTTAAGCATGGTCTCTCAACTATTAATAATCGTCCTAATTAACTGATTTATTACATGCTTTAAATCTATTGTGCATTTTAACTTTTAAACCATATTTAATTAATTATTTAACCGCTTTTAGTATTTATGGAGTTTTTTTGAACAAGTCGCGATGTCGCGCACTCGTTGTTTTTGAACACATTGCGAATCACGTCACATGAAATTCACCCGCGGTTTACAACATGTTTATTTTTATTATTATTTGAAGTTATGGTCGAGTCACATGAAATACACACCCGAATTGGGAATTATGTATCACGACTATGCCACGGGAACCGTATCCATAGCCACGATGATTTAATTACGTGCCTAAAGCAAACTACGATGTTCATGGTTTTCCTAAAACTAATTTGAGATGATTGTGCGGGTCTAGAATTATGGAGAAATTGTTGTAGAGAAAGTGTATTATTTATGGGATCATTCATGAATTTAATTACAAATGAGTTGGCAGTGACAAAGGACGAGTCACTTTGGTCAGTTCACATCCAAAACCGAAATAGCCTGATTCATTAGTTAAGGGAAGACGTTCTGGGCCTTTTTAAATCGTTAAACTAATTATTGTGTGGTCCAACTAATACGTTGAAATTAATGAGAGCTCAAGCCTAGAAATGAACTTAGAAATCAAAATGCAAGTAAAACTATTTCCACAAAATATTAGAATAAACATGCCAAAGTCCAACATTTGATCACGTTCACTCCTAATCTAATTTAATACTTTATTACGTTTTAACATCATTTGAGGCTAGGAAGGATAGCACAAACTAACAGAAAAGCATACCGCACTATTTTATATGTCTTGTGGCCAATTAGCAACAGCTCATTCATTTTAAAATTTCAAAGCAAATGGTAATGAAACAATTCATATTACAACGTTCAGTAACAATGAGTTTTGAAGCTTAGGATCTTAAAACATATCATTGTAAGGAAATAAGTTAACTATGGATTAAGCTAAACATGGACGTGTATTCTAAAAAATACATTTGACTGAATCAAACTGCATACAACTTATGGTAGCATAATGACGTTCAAACTCGACCAAAGCAGCCCTTCATTATACAAAAAACAAGACCCAGTCTGATTCTATGCTTTCAATTTGGTGACTTCCACTTCTTCCTCTCTTCCAACCACTTCCAAATTTACAAAGATATAGCCATTGGGCTATCCTTCATAAACTTGTTGGGCCATTCTAGCAATTCCATAAATAATCCAATCAAAAGTTATTGTGGATCGACATCAGCAGGAAGAAGAAACAAAAGCAATACAAAAGTCAATCCAAACAAGACAACCCAAATAGCATTTTTATAGCTAGCATGCTAAACCTATAAGGCTGAAACACACAAACATATCATTAATTCAGGTCAATATGTTAAGAACACAACAACACATCAACAAGAAGCAAATCAGCATTCATTTTGAAACAGAAGTGTTATACAAAATCGTGAAAAATACCTAAACAGCAGATGAATCAGCTTAAAGCCAAATAAAGGATAAGAGGGAATGAAGAAAACCAGCAAACTGAGAAGCAACAAAGTAAAGGCAGCGACAACCAGAATCAGCAAAGATAAACCAAAATCTGGAACCAAACAGCTTTGAATTTTCTTTACTCCCCTTTTTTTCTATCTCTAAATTGCATCCTTGCGAGTGTTTTCTTTTGAGAGCAAGGAAAAAAATGCAGAGAATTTTTGTGTAAAAATTAGTGTAGAAAATGAAGAGGAAATTCTAAAAATGCAGAGGTTTTGTCCGTGTATTTCTGCAAAGAAATTTCTCTCTTATATAGAATGTATGAGAGCCTTATGAGAGAATGAGATAAGGTACAAAAAGAATCTGCTCTCCTTCCTTAAATTCGGGGGAATGGCATTTTTTGTACAAGAAAATAGACAGTTGTATCTAAATTCAGCATCTTATCTCAACAATATTAGGCTAGTTGTCCCTTTCTAGAAATTTCTTTTCAATTTCACTCTCTTTAACTTCTGAAAATTCACCCTTTTCCAAAATCTGATTTAACCTAATCAAGTTATTGCACTTTAATCCCTTATTTAGCAGTTTCCTGTATCACTACCCTAGATTCCCTAATTTTAGTTTCCAATTACTCCCTTAAAGTTTCTATTATTACCTTTTTAACCCCTTGATTCCGATTGACATTCAAGCATCGAAAATTGACCAATTAAGACCAATATCAAAGAACAAATAAAACAGAAACAAACTAACTAATTAAATCTAGCTAAATCACTAAATTAAATAAACTCGATTCCATTAGCGTAAAACACATGCAATTAACTAATTAATCTTACTTTCACTGAACCTAAACAAATTGTAACAACCCGGCCGGTCGTTTTGTGAGTTATAGCCTCGTTTCTTCCATTTCTACTTCCTTTTGTGTTCATCAGCTGTATTTTATCGTATCGTGTTAGTTAGTTCGGGTCCAGAGTGGTTTTGGAGTGGAATGAGACACTTAGTCTCCTATTTAGAAGCTTAAGTTGGAAAAGTCAACCGGATGTTGACTTATGAGCAAACGATCTCGGATTTGGATTTTTATGATTCCGTTAGCTCCGTTAGGTGATTTTGGACTTAGGAGCGCGTCCGGAATGTGATTGGAGGCCCATGGTAGAATTATGCTTGAATTGGCGAAAGTTGGAAATTTGGCGATTATGGTCAGCAGTGGAATATTTGATATCGGGGTCGAAATGGAATTCCGGAAGTTGGAGTAGATTTTTAGTGTCATGTGGGATGTGTGTGCAAAATTTGAGGTCATTCGGACGTGGTTTGCTAGGTTTCAGCGTCGTTTGCAAAATTTGAAAGTTTAGAAGTTCTTAGGCTTGAATCCGAGGGTAATTTGGTATTTTAATGTTATTTTGAGTGTTTCGAAGGTTAGACAAAGTTCGTATGTTGATATGTGGCTTGTTGGTATGATTGTTGAGGTCCCGGGGGACTCAGGATGATTTCGGATGATTAACGGAGAGTTTGGAATTGAAAATATGCAGCTGAAGCTGTTGCTGGTGGTGTTTCCGCACCTGCGGATAGGGAATTGCAGGTGCGAGGTCACAGGAGCAGCTAAGAAGCCGCAGAAGCGGCCACAAGGGACTTGAGCAGGAGCCGCAGATGCAAAGTGTTTCCCGCACCTGCGAGAGGCGCAGATGCGGGCAGGCAAGCGCATGAGCGAGAGGGGTTGCGCAGGTGCGAGGTTGTTTCCGCACCTGCAATGATCGCAGATGCGATCCCAGGGATTTAAGTGACTTTCCGCAGATGCGGAGGTTTTTGCGCAGAAGCGGCACCGCAGGTGCGCATTTTGGGTCGCAGGTGCAAAAAGCCTGGGCAGAAGGTATAAATACAAGACTTCGCGAATTTTTGTTCATTTCCACCATTTTCAAGTCGGTTTTTGGAGTGATTTTGGAGGGAGATTCAAGAGTTTCAGTGAGGTAAGTTTCTTTAGCTCTAATACTCCTATCTATGGTGTTTCCCCGTTGTTTTATTAATTAATTAGTGGTAATTAGGGGTGAAAATAAGGGGTTAGGGCTTGAGATTTTGGAGAGTTTGATTTGAGGATTTGAGGGACCAAATGGAGCGGATTTTGATAAATTTCGTATGTACGGACTCGTGAGTGAATGTGTTTTCTAGTTTTTTGACTTTTGTTGGATTCCGAGACGTGGGCCCGGGGGCCGGGTTTGAGTGAATTTTGGGATTTGTGTCTAACTTGATAGTTTTTCTAGTGGAATTCATTCCACCAGCATATATTGATAATATTGTACTGGTTATGAATAGATTCAGAGCATTTGGAGGCCGAGTTGAGGGCAAGAGTATCGCGGAGTAGAGATTTGATCGGTTTGAGGTAAGTAACGATTGTAAATCTAGTCCTGAGGGTATGAAACCCCAAATTTTTGTGTCATGTGACTATTTTGAGGTGACGCACATGCTAGGTGACGGGCGTGTGGGCGTGCACCATTGGAGATTATGACATGGTCCGTCCCGTATCAACTGTAAAGTTGAATATTTTGTTGAAACTATATGATTTCTATGTGTTTTAGAAAGAATTTTTGTAAATCAGGCTGGATGCCATGTTTAGGCCTTATGTCAGTGTTGTTTGGACCCTTAGAGGTCTTTTCTTGCTATCCTCGCATTGTTTTCGATTTGAAATCTATACTCAGTCATGTTTATACTTATTTACTGCATAACTCAGTCTCTATTACTCTATTTTAATGCATCATATAAATGTTGTTTGGGCTGAGTACTTTGTTTTCTTTCTGTGAGCCCGAGAGGCTAGAGAGGTTTATGATTGAGTGAGGCCGGGGGCCTAATTTGTAAGGATATTTACGGGATCGGGCTGCACGCCGTAACATGTTTTATTGATTTCTGATCGAGTGAGGCCGAGGGCCTTATTGTTATGCCATGATCGGCTTGTTATAGCGCTTGGGCTGAAGGAGCCCCTCCGGAGTCTGTACACACCCCCAGTGAGCGCAGGTACCTACTGAGTGCGAGTGCCGAGTGCCGAGTGACTGGGAGGCATGAGTGATGGTGAGGTTTGCCCGATGGGCTGTATATGAGTGATGGTGAGGTTTGCCCGAGGGGCTGTATACGAGTGATGTTCGCCCGAGGGGTTGTTTATGATTTCATCATTTTACTCACTTATGCATTGAACCTTTGTTCGAAAACTGTTGAAAGACGTTTTTAAATGATTTTTACTGGAACTGGATTTAAATAAGCTGATTTGATTCAAACTATGTTTTAAAAAGCGTGTTGTATTTTACTGAGTTTCTGTGATATGGACTTTACTTGCATTATTGCTTGTCACTACTTCTCATTCTTTATTTACTGTTGTTACTTAATGAGTTGGCATACTCACGTTACTCCCTGCACTTTGTGTGCAGATCCAGGCATTTCTGGATATGGTAGCGGGTGTTGATTATTCAGTTGCAAATCCATCGGAGTTAGCAAGGTAGCTGCCTGACGATCGCAGCCCTGCTTTCCTCTCTCTTTATCTTCCCTTAGTTGTATTCAGTTACTTCCAAACTATGTTGGTCTTAATATTGCCAGACAATTGTAGTAGATGCTCATGACTAGTGACACCCCGATGTCGGGCTTTCTTTTCCACACTTTGTTTTGATTTGAACTCCTTTATGAAGGTTTTACATTAAATAGCTTTGGAATTATCTTTGAAATAAAAATCGCATTTTGTTTTGGTAATGTGTCGGCTTGCCTAGTACCACGATAGGCGTCATCACGGCAGGGTTAGTTTAGGGCCGTGACACAAATTAATAACTAACCTAGTCAAAAGAAATTAACACCTAAGCGATAATCTGAAACAGAATAAAGAAACAAAAGGAAAAGAGAGATACACTGATTTGGATTCTAAAGGAGACGACAATTGAGGCGAATCGACGAAGAATGATGGCGATAAAGCTTTAGCCGGTCACTGCCATTGGAACACCATCCGGTGGCTTTTGGAATGAACCAAAATCAACATCAATCGATCGTTCTTGTTAAGAACGATCGACTGATGTAGGTTTTAGGTCAAAATATGCGAAAATTGCCGGCGAAATAGAAAAGGGCAAAAATTATGGTTCCCAAATTTCTAAGATTTAGAATTCAAGGGATTTGGGTGGTTTTATGGTGAAATTGAATGGAGATATGAAGTGAGGGGGATGTGGTGGTTGTCTGGTGAAAAATTGGAGGTGATGGGGGTGAGCCGCCGTCATAGGGCGATTTTCGGCGGCGGCATTGACAGGGAGTGAGATATGAGAGGTGAGAGGTGAGAGGTGAGAGGTGAAAGGGGAAATGGGGGGTCGTCTCTAGGGTTTGGGGGGGGGGGTGGTCCTAGGACAGTTATAAGGGTAGGAAGTGGGGAGTTCCCAACCGTTGGATCATAGGAGATCAACGGATGTTTTTTTTTTTATGAAATGTGGTCGTTT